CGAGAGGAAGAGAGAGAGAGAGAGAGAGAGAGAGAGAGAGAGAGAGAGAGAGAGAGAGAGAGAGAGAGAGTGTCAATTTACTCTTCTCCTTTTTTGTTTTACCTCTCTCCTCGAATAAGTGCCATTGTTCCGTTTGCTACATCCGTTGAGATGCGGCGACAGCTTGCGCGCCACACGTGCCTTCGGATCTTAATTACTCGCACATGGAGCCGTCGACAAATGTTATCTATCTTACACCGTATATCGGTCCTTCCATCATTTTTCTTTCGGCGCTTCGTCTGTTCGATTTTGCGGTTATTGCGACGTATTAAATTCTCGTCCGATTTCAGACTTCAGCGTTTACTACATTTCGAGTCATTAGCTCAATCGGGAAGTTTAATTCTCGCTCTCCAAAGTGAACAATAAATTTGCGATATTTACATTAGCTTACAAACTATAATCGGCTATTAACGAACGAACTCTTTTCAGTGGATTGACGAGATTTACCGGCAAATTCTCAAAATTGCACGGAAATCCGCGAGGAGAGTCAAAGACCGGCCATTGGTGCCGAGACGCGAGGCGATTTGTGACGATGCGACATGTAAGTTAGCATTTGCCGCGCGTCCGTGTATCCGATGGGCCGATAGTGCGGCGGCGCCGGGATGCGCTGAGAGGACGTAGATGGAGATTGGCAACAGCCGATATATTCTATTTACAGGTGGACAATAGCGAATAATCAGCCGGCGTAATGGAGTGCAGGCGCCGCATTCCGCGCCGGCTCCGGGTTGAAAGGGCGACGAAGGGAGGGCGGTGATCGGGAGGGCGATCTGCACGGTCAGATACGTGCCCCCTAATACACGGGGGTGGTGCATAGAGTGGTGAAGGGGCCGCGATGCCGAATACGCGCGGGGGCCGGAGGTTGCATGCGTTGTATGCGCGGGGCATGTTATTACAACATGTAGTCCCTCTATCCTATCTCGAGTTCGCACGGCTCTTAGTCCCGTAATCGCGCCGACCATGAAGGGCCCTGGATCGGGACGATCCGCTCTTGATTAGTCCGACGCGATCTGATTGTTCTGCACTTTCCGTAAATATGTACGACATGGAAAGAGCGACGGCGTGCGACCGTAAACGTGCGTGCCGTAAACTCGGCTTTATTTGCATGGTTACGTTTCTGCGTGAGAGAGTTCCGCGCGGAAATTAATTGTTGCACGTTCCCAGTTCGTTGTGGTAGCGTTCACGATACGAGTTTGAATAACGAAGCAGTGAAATTTATCTGGGTTTCACATAATGTAAAGCAATGTCGTTGACACAAAATGCCGATTACGTGAAAAATTACAGAGGCTGTGACTTTCTCGTTTTTCTTTTTCTCATTAAAAAGAGTTATTTGCTATTCTCATGAAATTTGTGAGAATCAATCGACTATCATTTAGATAATTTGTGACGTTTATTTATCCTATCGATTTGTCCAATGGATCTCTTTTATTATAAATATTCGCATATTCCTCTCGATTTTGGTAATTTATTTCCTCTAAGTTCTCGAGTGTCTGAAATTGACGCAGACACCCGCACCCGGTATTCAGACGCGACTCGTTGGGTCCCGCTTTCGACGATCGCGGCGTATCTCTCGATGGAAAGTTCAGCGAGCGACACAACGCGAATGTTCGTTCCCCTTCTTCTTCGGGCGAACTCCACTCGGCGAGGTCGAAATAACGAATTAACGTACTTAAGCGAAGAACAGCGCGAGTTCTCATTAGCGACAGAACCCGGTGGGCAGGTGGGATTGAGGGGGGAGCTAGGTGGAGAAGGAATCAACTTCTTCGGTACGTAAGTTGTCTTCGCGTGCCCTTTTAATTACTGCAGACTGGAGGAGGCGGCGGGGATAGTGCCGAGGGCGGGAAAGCGGCACGCGCATTTGCATTTTCCGGAAGGGCCGTTTAGAAGTTACTCTTTGGAGTCGTCCGGAAGCGGCAGTGCGGTTATTTAATGAGTAAAAGGAGAAACAAAAGGGGGGTCTTCTCGTAGGCAACGGCATGGGTGGAGTAGGGGAAAACGAGTCGACAACGTGGCCGAGAGGGGCTCGTCCTTGCTGGGGTAAGATGCAGGATTGCATTTTAATAGAGACATTACGGAACACTTGGTTGAAGCGTGTCTTCCTATTTCTTTTTCTTCCTCTCCTCTCCTCTCTCTCTCTCTCTCTCTCTCTCTCTCTCTCTCTCTCTCTCTCTCTCTCTCTCTCTTTCTTGGCTTGAAAATTTTTGGCAGAGTGCGATATAAAGACACAGTTTTTCTTTGTAGCAGCTTCTCCGATATTTTTACTTCATAACACATGTTAACAACATCTGGTTAACAGCCGCACGAGTTATCAAGTAACATATAAATTAACATATTATCTTATTGTAATATAAAGGAGAGAGAGAGGAGAAAAAGAGAGAGCGTGAACCTAATTATACAATTCATTCTTTATAGGAAATTGTGTATATCTGTTGCTTTATATTGCTTTTTTAAAACAAGATAATGAATAGTTACGTGCATGTAATACCATTTATACTAAAAAAAAGGATATAGAGAATACTTTTAATTCTGTAAGTAGATATGAAGCAACAATGCATTCATTAGTTGTAATTAGAAAAAATCGATAATCAGATAATATCTGAGAGTAATAGTATATTCGAGTACCTAGATAGCTAGATAATGTTCGAAAGTATCTGTGTAGTTGAAATTGACAGGACTTAACCTTAACGTACGAGTATATACGTCAGTAAATATTTGTTGTATATCTTCCTTTATTGCTATCGGGTTTATTTGAAATCTTCTCTTAGATAATAAGTATTCGTAGTGTTCGTTATATCTTCAGTTACAATTCGTAAGCAATTCCCGAGAGATGCAGAAATATTTATAAACACGTTAATTTAATATACTTTCAGTAATCACTGAACTTGGACTTCTTTTAGAAAATTTTACGGCGTGTGGTAAGGTATGTAATTTTATGCGTTACTTTCAATTGATATCACAAATAAAATAAATTCTACATTCTGATTACACTGGTATATAGATATGCAAGGATTAATCCCTTACGAAGATTCAGAAACGTCTCATAATTCATACGATCAGTTTTTCCATCCGAACGTATGTCATATTTGCAAATCAAAAGATCAAGATCAGTTGATATTATGTCAATGTGGTATGATTTCTTATTGTACCGAGGAGCACAAAATGCAACATCGGCCACAGCATAAAGAAATTTGCGGACTTATAAAACTTTTGAAAACTTGTTTGCCAGACACTCCGAGTTTATTTTTTGATGAGTGGATTGAAACACAACAAAATTTTATAGAAAAACTTCAAATAATACTGACACATAAAATAAAACAATATGAAGTGCAAATGCTCATGTTCGAAAAAATATGTTTTATATGTCAAAAACAGTATATTTTCTATACCTGCGAAGCATGCCTTTCTATCAGTTATTGCGTTGATCATGTCGATCAGATTTACTTGCACTATGGAGCCACTTGCACTCAGTTGGCGATAAGTCTCGACATAGATATCATATTATCTAAACTAAAGATATCCGAAATACTAAGTATACAATTCCCTATTTTTTCTGACAAAGAGATGTTTTTTACTGACATGGATTCATTTTGTAGTCAATATTATCATAAAACAAGAATACACGATTACTATTGTTTGGACGACTATGTCTTTACTGATTATATATCAAGTCCATTAACGCTGTATAGTGTATTGCAAACTGTAAAATTATTCCGTTTAATAAAACTAATGGACACTTTTGTTATACATATCATAGCCACAGACTACGTAGAAAAATACAATTTTCCAGTATGGGAGCTTTTCTTACATCTTTTAAATAAAAAAGTGAAGCTTGTAGTTGTAATAATAGGACCAGAATTACAGTATGAAATTAATGAATATCAAGTTTGCTCCCATTGCAAAACAGCCAACAAGAAACTCATTATTCAGTTCTTTCCTCTGTTGTACCATAATTATGTGCACAGTATTAATTATAGACGACCAAATATAATCATAGGATTTCAAGCAGAATTTAATCATGGCAAGTCATTGTCGGAATCTATAAGAGTAATACAGGCACAGAACTGTCCGTTGCTTTTAACCGCTAAATCGGCCTTTAAAATAAAAGAAAACATAATTAAGATAAAAAATGTTCTAGGTACATCTATAAAACCTGCATTTCAAGCCAGAAATAAATTCGCTTCTTCTAGACCATACAGGGACTTTGATACTGGCCACGTATTTTATCGTAATATATATTTAATTTTCTACAGAAACTTAAAAGATTCCAGCAACTCGACGCATTTCAATAGCAAATGCCGTGTATAAATCTGTTATCAGGTTTTTGGTATTATCGTAAATAACATACAAAATAAATTTTGTTTATGAAATTACTTGTATATAATTGTTATAAAGAATATATATTTACGGACGAATATAATATATCATTTTTTGTTTAATATATATCATTATATATATGGAAAATTATTAATATTAAAATATTTTTTTCATACACATTCATATATTTTTGTGTGTAAAATAAAAATATATGAAATATTGCATATAATGAAATATATTAAATGTTGCATATATTATATCAATGTATTATATTAATGTAACATATAGTAATTTACTAACATTACTATATATAATATATAAAAGAGATCCTGTTTATGAACAAATTTGGGAATTATTTTAATAAAGACTATATTCAGTGAAAGTTCTTACGTTTTATTCTTATGTTTTATTCAAAACGTACACAAAGAATTGCGTAATTAGTACTACATTCATTGCATTAACTAATCGTTTTCTTAATATTATATAATTTTTTAAATTTTGTATTTTGTGTATGATGTTTTTTCTTAAATCTTTCCGTCTTTTCGTGACTTCGAATTTCCTTTAACATTCCGATGTGATTTAATTGTGTTATTCACCATTTCCAGATTTTTTGTGCATAATTAGTGAGAATTATATAAACTGCTAATGTATTTGTGAAAGAATTGGCGTGAATTTGACCTCTTTCATTTCCCTTTTAAAAGATAAGATATTTGGCTCTTTAATAGACATTTACAGTACGTCAGTAAATGTCATATTATGTACACTTTTTTCCTATCTCGAGTCTATTCGCGGCATTTTATTTAGACACGCATATATATATATATATATATATATATATATATATATATATATATATATATTGTAGTATCAATATGCGTGGAAATAATGTCCAAAACTAAAATGAAAATCGTCAAATTTTGTACCATCAGTATAGATGTCTACTCAGCGATCGTACAGATGACACTGTAAAGTATTTACAAGTTATTCTATGTGTCTCAAGAATTGTTTACAGTCTGAATTGTCATTGGAGATATAACGAACTATGAATATATATATATATATATATATATATATATATATATATATA